ACAGACTGACTTGTATAATTATCAAAAGTGCCAGAAAAAATATGAGCCTCCTTTTGGTGACCGCAGTGTGATGGAAAAATGGATATATTAAGGCTAAGAATCGTTCGATATTCAGCGTTAATAGCGCACACATTGTAAACGCTCCCAACAGAATAGATATGCACATCCATGTGTGTTCAACTTTGTCAGGATTATTTTCCATAGACCACGTAATGGATGATACTATTAAGACTGGATGTGTGATGGCGACCATAGCCAGATCAAAACAAGATAAAACAAGAATCATAAAGTAGCATGGTTTTTTCGAAGTTGTGGCGACCTCAATAGACTGATTATAACCACAGCATTCAGAAATATTCCTGCAACCACGAAAGTAACATTCACAAATAGCAGAAATAGCGCGTTCACAATAGTGCTTAGGTGCATTGTAATTCCTATTTCTTATAGATCTTTCCTGCTTTTCCTTTTAAAACGTAGTCTTTGAACAATGAATATAGGAAGAAATGCGAAAACGTCTAAATACACCTGTACACTTATTCATTTTTTGACATATACAAGTAGGCATAAGCGAGTGCTCTTAGCAAAGCAATACCGCGCTGGTAAAACTCGTATATAATTATCCGTCAGTTCGCGCAGTCAAGATATAACACTCCGTACATAAATAATTTAGAAAAAATTACATGAATGTTGAAATATGTATGCAAGAGAATAGGAAGCGTCAAAAGATTGGGAGGGAGGGGGCAGTTTCGAGGGGCACTTTTGGAATGAAAAGGACACGTGAAAAATTTTCCCGAAATGTTCGCGACGGGGGGTGAGTGTAACTGCAATCATACAAAATGCAATCTGAACAACATTTTTCACGAAGGCAAAGGGCACTTTGCCACCGGAGAAATGGCACTTTTTGTGTTTTCTGAAAACTTGGGGGGCCTTGTCCCCCTTCCCCCCCTCCCGTTCTTACGCCCCTGTATGTACTCTCCATTCCGTTATTCGACGAAAAATTTCCAATTTCCTCTCGAAAAGAATGCGTTGTTCCACTTCATTCAACAAATATAGCCTTTCCAAAGTTGATAATTCAGCTATTGTCTGACACTCGACAATTTTAACTGCCAAATCCATGTCTAAATAAAAATACCTTTGTTTATTTCCTTTCTATGACATACAACAAGCCATGAAGGAACTTAATACTTTTAACAAACTATAGAACTCTGTATAGAACTGGAACTTGTATAGTAAAAAGGTATAAATCGTCCCGTATTGTTTTCAAAAAATCATCTAAAATCTAAGTTGCTATGGCAACCGCTTGCAATAACTTCATGATAAATCGACTCTTTTAAAGCAAAACTTCTCGCGAAACGCTTTGTTTATGAAAGCTATAAACAAAACTGTTTTGCCTAAATACCTTTTAACGTTGGAATACAAAGGAACACCTCGTCTGCAAAGTTCTGACCAGTTAATATCTGTGAATAACTATAAACAAAAATCGCGAAACGTCAAATATCCAGCAAAGTTCTATCGGTAAAAACTATAAAACAAAAATGCTTTGCCTAAGTTCACATACAAAAAGTTTACCTATATAGTTTGTTAAACAACATACCTTTAAAAGTTGAAAGCAGCAAGTCTTTATACTAAGAAAAAACCACTCGCGAAACGTCAGTAAAGTTTTCTGTGTGAACAATATATCAAAGCAAATCTTTCAAACTTCTCTCTGCGAAAGCTGTGTAAACACTACGTTCTTGTAAACTCGAAGACCTCAATTTATACAGTATATTAAATCCGGTTCGAACTGGTATTGTAACGCTTACAAGGATCATATTTTTTTTTTACAATAACGTTATGCGACAAATACTTGCTGACGCCATCTCAAAATTCCAAAAGATCACGCGACAAATGTTATGCGACAATGTTCCAAAAATGACGTCACCCTTATCCCTAAAAATGTTGACGTCCTACGGCAAGGATCATATTTTTTTTTACAATAACGTTATGCGACAAATACTTGCTGACCCCATCTCAAAATTCCAAAAGATCACGCGACAAATGTTATGCGACAATGTTCCAAAAATGACGTCACCCTTATCCCTAAAAATGTTGACGTCCTATGGCAGGAAAAATGCTGACGTCATATGGCGGGAAATTTACCCCATATGGGGGTTTCATCTACTTTCACTATATTCCACATCATGCAGTAGTTAGAAAGGATGCAAAGACCACGAAGGTTAGAGTGGTATATGATGCTTCTTGTAAAGAATCTCCCAAAGGGGCATCTCTGAATGATTGTCTTCACATTGGGCCAAATTAGCACAATTGTTGTTTCATATTTTGTTACGATTTAGAGAGAAGAGGATTGCATTAGTTGCAGATATAGAGAAAGCCTTTTTAAGTGTAGAGGTTGACGCACTAGATAGAGATTGCTTAAGATTTCTTTGGGTGAAAGACGTTCAGGATAAAGAGATTAGGCCAGTAGAGTACAGATTTTGTAGAGTAGTATTCGGTGTTAATTGTTCCTCGTTTTTGTTGAATGCAACATTACAATACCATTTAGATAGTCTTGAAAGTAAGGATCCGGAGCTTGTTAGGAAATTGAAAGACAGTTTTTATGTAGACGATTTGGTCTCAGGAGAACAGACTAGTGATAAAGCATTTTTATTGTATGAACAGGCCAGTGAAGGGTTAGAAAAAGGTGGATTTAGACTGAGAAAGTGGCTTAGTAACAGCAAAGAGTTATTAAAGAGAATAGAACAAAGTGAAGAGAGAGCAAGTGAGAAAGACGTTTTAGATGATGAAACCTATGCTAAGGTATCGATGGGAGTTAACAATAATAGTGACACATCCGAAAAGGTACTTGGTATGAGTTGGGATTATAATTCAGATAAATTTATATTCTGTTTAGCGAAATTAGCAGAAAAGGCCAAGTCAGTGGTTGCTACTAAGCGAAATATTCTAAGTATATTGCCCGGCTTATTTGATCCCTTAGGTATAATTTCACCAGTAGCAGTGAGTATAAAGATGTTATTTCAGGAGTTGTGCTTAGACAGAGTTGAATGGGATGAAGAGTTTGAAGGTGAAAGAAAGAAGCGGTGGTTGAGTTGGGTGGAAGATCTTGAACGAGTTAGTCAAATTGTAGTATCGAGATGTATTTATGGTAGCTTGATAGGTAAAACAACTTGTTCCTTACATGGGTTTGCAGATGCCAGTTTAAAAGCATATTGTGCAGTGGTCTATTTTGTCACAGAATTAAATAATGGCTATCATGTAGAATTATTTACATCTAAAACCAGAATTGCACCTATAAAGGTACAAACTATTCCTAGGTTAGAGCTTATGTCGGCGAGAAATTTAGCGAAGTTGATGAGCACAGCTAAGGAAGCATTAGAACACAGTGTTCAATTTGCTGGTGTTTACTATTGGTTAGACAGTAAGACAGCCTTGTGCTGGATTAATAATCGAGGAGAGTGGAAACAGTTTGTCCGTCATAGAGTGAACGAAATTTTGAGGTTAAGCAGAAAGGAAGATTGGGGTCATTGTCCAGGAGTAGAAAATCCTGCTGACTTAGGATCTAGAGGAGTAACTGCCTCATTTTTAAATGAATGTGAGCTTTGGTGGAAAGGGCCAAAGTGGTTATCTGGCCCAAGCTGTAGTTGGCCTGCTGTTGAAGAGATTTCAGACACGGAGGAATGTTTAGAAGAAGTCAAGAAGACAGTTGTAATGAAAACACAAGTAGAAGAAACTTTCAGTTTAGAAAATGTAATTGATATCAATGCTTATAGCAACATTGAGAAAGTAATCAGAGTCGTTGCACTGGTAAAGAGATTTATAAATAACTTAAAGGTTAGACTGGAAGGAAAGGCAGCAGTAATGGGTCCATTGAAGGTTGAGGAAACAATGATAGCAGAGTGTATCTTGATAAAGGCTGCACAAGCAAGTTTGAAATCACGGAGTGATTATCAGCAATTGGTTAGTCAGTTACGTATAGTGGAAAGAGATGGAGTATTGAAGTGTAAGGGTAAGTTTAGTAATGCAGAGTTAGAAATAGAAGCCAGGGAGCCGATGATATTACCAAGGGAACATTATCTAACTGAATTAATCATTAGAGACTGTCATAATAGGGCACATCATTGTGGACTTAGAGCCACACTAGCTGAGTTGCGTAGTAGGTTTTGGGTACCAAGAGGTAGACAGGTGGTAAAAAGGGTCATAGGTAATTGTGTAGTTTGTAAGAAGCATAGTGGTAAAGCTTATGGAGCACCAGCGCAAGCAGATTTACCAGAGTTTAGAGTTCAGCAGTCACCACCCTTTTCTAAGGTAGGGGTTGATTTTGCCGGGCCACTGTTTGCAAAAGAGGGTAGCGAGATGGTAAAAGTTTATATTGCATTGTTCACATGTTGTGCGACAAGGGCCGTTTATCTAGATTTAGTAAGAAATCTTAGTGCACCTTGCTTTTTAAATTGTTTGAGGAGGTTCACATCTAGGAGAGGTGCGCCCACCCTAATAGTTTCAGACAATGCTAAGACATTCAAGGCGGCACAAGAGGCAGAAAAGGCGTTGTACAATAGTAAAGAAGTGAAGTCGTATTTAGAGAATAATCGATTAGAATGGCGATTTAATTTGGAGAGGGCCCCATGGTGGGGTGGATTTTTCGAGAGAATGGTGGGGCTGGTGAAAGGTTGTTTGCGAAGGGTGCTTGGGAATGCTAAGCTAAGTTTTGAGGAACTGTTGACGACGTTGGTCGAGGTTGAAGGTACTCTAAATTCTCGACCATTGACATATTTATATGAGGAGGTAGAGACAGATGTGCTAACACCTTCGCATCTGATATTTGGTCGTAGACTTACTTCAATGGCAGATAAAATTACCAATCAGGTAGGTGATGACGAAATTGGAGAGGGAAATAGAAGATTTAGGTATTTGGCAAGAATGAGGAAGCACTTTTGGAGGAGATGGCGAAAGGAATATTTAACGAATTTAAGGGAATTTCATAAAGTTAGGAAAGGAAATTAGAGTTCAGATGCAAAGGTGGGTGATGTTGTATTAGTGTTTGATGAAAATCTTAAAAGAGGATGTTGGAGGGTAGGAAGAATTGAAAGTTTGGTATTAGGAAGGGACAAGGTAGTGAGAGGAGCGAAGGTGAAGGTGGTAAGTAAAGGACGTACATCGTTTATTAACAGACCTGTACAGAAGTTATATCCTTTGGAAGTGGATACAAGGGTAAGTATACAGACAGAGATAGTTGAAGAGATCAGTGAGAAGTGTGAGAGTGTAGACAAGGGGAAAGAAGAGATAACTAAGAATGACAAGGTGAGTATTGAAGGCAGTAGTAGGAGACCCAGAAGGGCTGCGGCCCAGGTTGCACGTTGGCGAACGCAGGTTTTGTTTGACCCTAAAGGCTCAAAGGGGGGAGTGTGTCGGATAAATCCTTGTAAATAGTAAATACTTTATGTTATGGTTTATATTACTTTTAAATGGTTGTAAATTGATATCTTAGTTAGACTATAATGCGTTGTCTACGCTCAAACAATAGACAATGAACTTCCGGACGACGGAAAATTAGAGTTTTATCAAGAAAGGTTGTGTTTGTAAGATTGTACGGTTTTAAGAATTGGAGATGTTATGATTGTTTTATTTTAATAAATTTGTAAAAGGAATTGTCTGCGCGTATTATTTGGTTGTACGGTGATAGTATACAGTCCCCAGAGAAGAGAACCAGCTGAAGCGCAAGTGCTCGTATTGACGCGAAGCAGAAAAGTGCAACAGTCATGGCACCCAGGGCATTGCACAATTAAAGATGCGGCAAAGTCTGTTTGCATGCGTCAGCTTCTTTGTTTACATTATTTTAGCTCTATAAACAAAATGGTGAAAACTATATATTGTACATATTTCTCAGCTTCCGGAATAAATTATCAAGGCAGCACAAACATGGAACCCAATTAAACTGTTTGGATCTACATCAACAGGCTCTTTAATATATGTATACATGCCCAAAACGAACTGTCACTGGTACCTCTTCTTAAAAAATGTGGTGCAAAAGCCCAGAGAGGAGGCAGCCAGGGCTTGCATTAGCTGATGCTATGATTGAATGCAGTGGCATAACTTTGTGTTAAGAGCTTCCCGGCTTGAACTGAAAAGAGCCCCGTTGATCTACTTTTCAGAGCGTCGACATGAGTGAGAGGGTGCCACGCAACTTGATACTTATTCTTGGTAATTGTCTTTTCGTATAATATAATTACCTATTACCTATTGCAATCCTAGCTCAGTGACCCCCCTTGGGTAAGAGGCTCCCGGCTCTTGCCAGGCACAGCCATTAGGAGTTGCGCCACTGATTGAATGGTGCATTTTTATTTTACATTTTTGACGGCATAACAGAGAATATTACTTTTGGTGTGCACCAAAAGCACATTTCTTATTTACTTTGCTGTGTTTAATACATTATATTTCACACATAAAAGGAGAATTCATTCTTCGAGTTTCATGAATTCTTTGAATTTCCCAGAAAACATAACCATTACATTATAAAAGTTATGAGACTTAGCGCCGGGCTTTAGACGACTTTGGGCAACTTTAGGGACCGTACGTTCATAATTATACATACGCGTGGGCTGGAGTAAAACTAAACATTTATTAAAATATTTTTCCGACCCACCCCCTTAAAATTAAATTAAAATTTTTCACCCTCCCCCAATACTCGAGAAATGAATAGAACAGCAAGAGTTTGGAAAATTCTTCCAGCAGAACTGAGACACCAGTCTCTCACTCTACCACGATTTAAATTTCTGCTGTTAGACTTCTTCAAAACTGCCTAATAAACTGCCTAAATTATCAACCTCACAATCCTCGGACATGGAAGTCTATCTGCTTAAAGTGTAACACTGCTCGTAGTCTTGCTGCTCCACTCTCTTGCTGCTATTAGTATCTCATAGTTATTGAAATATAAACACGATTAGGAAGGTTGTAAGTCTTAATTTTATGTTCTGTCTAAATTTGGATAGATTTGTATCAATTTGTGCACGTCCAGGTTCTTTACTGTTTTGATCTATTTTTCGAAGTTGTCAAGTCTTCCTATCCTTGTTTATTATGTTTCAATAGCTTTCTTACATGTTTTATAAAATCTGCAAACAGCTAATTCAGTATGTTTGTAAAATACAATACAACGAAAACTTCGAGGAAATTGTTTGCTTAGCTTCAAGTTTCAATTCGTGTGATGACTTTGAACAGGTAAATTGAAGTTTTCGTCGTGTTTTATTTGTGTTTTATTATCTATTTAAAGGGCCCACGACAGTAATTGGTACCATACTGTTGTGGTGACCTTGCCATGAATGCATGATAATGGCGAAGTTAAATAAATAAATAAATAAAGAAATTGACAGTTGAGTTGACATTATTTTATGAGGTCGGCTATATTGCGAGTTGCGAGATTTGAGTCCGCGAGTTGCAAGTCTGGGACCGGTTATATAAAACTCTTAATCAATTTTTAATCACTATTTTGTAGTTAAATAGTGATTAACTCTCAAATACGCGCTTCTTATTGAATGACGTTTTCACTAACTATAGTTAACTTTAATCACTTTTTTATACAACCGGCCGCTGGCCTGCCTTGGGCGTTATGTCCTTCCTTCTATTTTTAATAGTAATCCCAAGAGCAGGAGTGTCGGCGCTAGAAATATACACAACTATACAACCTGGGGCCGGTTGTATAAAAACGTAATTAGCGCTAACTGTAGTTAGCGTTAATCACTGTAGTTAAATCCTTAACTGTAATTAGTTAACTACATGACTTAACTGCGTTGCACAAAACGTAGTTAGTCGGATAGACGGATAGTTAACTAATCACGTAGTTAACTGTGCGTGGGGCGTTTAAACAGAAAATTACATAAAGTAAGCAGCGAGTAACGACCGCTGACAACATTTTCAACACGATTGTGGACTCGTATTTTGCAAATAGGCGGGAATTTTATTCAAAACACTAGAGAGGGTCCTGAAGGGGGGGTCCCAATCCCATTTCCCACCTGAAATTTTGGCAAAATCCCAGTCCCAGTTGGATTTTTATTAGAAATCCCAGTCCGAGTTATTGAAATCCCAGTCAATAAAAACCCCTTTATTTATCGGTACAATAAAAGTTAAGACTTTTAAGCCAACGTGTGTGCAAGTGGCGCACACTTATGAAATTTGGGGGGGGGGGTGCCGAAGGCACGGGAAATTTTAAAATTTGAATCCCGGAAATGGCATTTGCAGCATTCTGAGACACGCATAATCAGAAAACCCAGAATTCCGGGCACCAGAGTATGCCTGTTCGCAGGTAGTGCTGTGAATAATATAGTTAACAACAAAAATCATGACCAAAGACACCAAAAACGGATCAAAATTGTATTTTAAAATACTTAAAACGTAGAAAAATTGGGAATCAACTCGCATTACCTCAATCCCATTCCCATTTTTGAGGACTTCATTTCCCATTCCCAGTGGCCAAATCCCAGACCCAGCAACCCAAATCCCATTTTCCCAGTCTAAAAATAGATCAATCCCAGTTCCCATTTTACCCCTTCAGGACCCTCACTAGAAAACAGTGAAAAAAAAACAAAAAATAAAGAAAAACCGCCACAAAAATCATAAAAGAATGCTGTTTTTCCTTGAGATGTCTACGTTAAACCAAGGCATAGCTGTTTGGCAATTATATATAAGTGTTTCTTGGTGTAATGGACCATACTTCTTCTTCGAGAAATCCTCCTGTGCAAAAATATGTTCTGTTTTCGTAAAAACACCAAAGCGATAGCATTTGAAGAGTTTATATTGTCAGGAAACATTCACAGGGAAGATAGCGATTGAAAATCTCAGGTAAGCGTTGCTTTTCATTATTGTTTTACTAAAAAATGTTGTCCACTCCTATACAAACGCCATTTTTAACTACGTTTTGGACAGTTAACTATACCCTAAAGCATAGTTAACTTTAACTACTTTTTAACTGCAGTTAAGGCTAACTACACTTTTATACAACCAGCTTAACTACGTGATTAAAGTTAACCACTTTTTAACTACTTTTTAACTGCAGTTAGCGCTAACTACGTTTTTATACAACCGGCCCCTGGAGTTCCTGCGCTGTGACTCGCAACTCGCATATAGTAGACGAACTCTTATTTCATAGAACAATATATACAGCTTGACTATTGTCTAGTGATCCATAATTTTGTTTTTGTGACTGATGATGCTCTTCTCTTTTATACACTTTTGAAAAATGAAGAATACGTTTCTCAACCGCCCCTCCCCTAATACAGATATCATAACAAAAATGATGCCTTCCGGCCTCTTGTTTGTGGAAATTATTTTAGAACCCCCTAGTTTTCCGCAGCCGCCTCATTTTCTTGAAAAAATTTAATAGCCCTCCCTTCTAGTCATTCATTTACTGCCTCATTTGTTTACGTCATTAATGTGCCTATGACATGAATATGATTGTTTTCTTGAATGAAAGAACTCTTTAAGCTGTAGTGTAACTTACTTTTCATTTTCTTGATTTTGTGGTTTGTTCCTGTGATATTTCAATTTGTTTGATATGTAAATGAGTGTGAATATGTCCGCTATATTATGACGTCGATTTGGTTGCAAGCTCTTCGAAATGGTTCAATATCACTGCTATCATCCAAGACGATAATTTCAAACTTCACTCTCTGGTAAATGTGATGAAACACTGCCGGAGAAAAACGTGAACTGATATCTACAGTTTTTAGAGTTTAATAGATTTATACCTAGTGTAAGTTGAACTTGCAACCAAAGTGACGTCATAAATTAGCGGACATATTCACACTCAGTTACATATCAAATAAATTCAAATATCTTGGGAACAAACCACAAAAACAAGAAACTGAAAAATAAGTTACTCTATAGCTTAAAGAGTTCTTTCATTCAAGAAAATAGTCATATTCATGTCATATGCACTTTAAGCGCACGTGTATCGACGCGACCCACGCAAAGGCCACGCACGAGGCAGATTCATTTATACATATGCCTCCCCCATAGATATCTTATATAAGATATCTATGGCCTCCTCCCTTATTTTTGCTCAACTCCCACCCTTCCATAAATAATGACCGGCCCCTTAGAAAAAATTGCACCGTAAATATTTGGACTATCGTGAAAAAGTTTGGACGTGACAGAATCAGCTCTGCGGAAATTTTCTCGATAGCGACATTTTGACATTTTACGAATCAATTGTTCAAAACGTAAATGTCTCAGCGCGTATTCACACCGGCCACTTTAAAACAAAGAACACCATTGAAATCCTAACGAAATAGCCTTTTCAAGGCGGGGTCAAATGCCGCCAAAACATTACACAAACCGAAACAATCACATATTTACTCATCGCTTGGCCAAACATTTTGTATTTCATATCGAGAGAAGACTGGATATCTTGTTATCTCTTCAGGATTCGCCAAATGTCAATAAGAGTGAAATACAGTCGAACCTCCAACCTCGTACCCAGGGTCTTTCTTTGGGAAAGACCCTGGCTGCGGCTGGTCACGTGCCTCATCAAAATTTTAGCGCCTGAGGGGGTGTGGGGAAAGTATCAAATTACAAAAACATGCTTCCAGTTGGATATTCGTTAAAAACATAAATTTTGCGAATTATTATGTTCAAAATACTTGCTAATTTTTGTTTATTTTCTTTGCTTTGAATTTACAAGAACATTCTTACATTCTTACTTACAGTCAAGTCAAGAAACAAAGCAAATCGTTACTCGCAGTACGTGCTCTCTCGTGTTGTTATTCAATGCATGTTCTCTTCACAATCGAGCGCGGTTATAACAAACCTTTTAATATTGTAATGTTTTTAAAATACGCCATTACATTCGTCCTTTCTTGTAAACGTTGATACGCTTTGTGCCGATTCACTTGTTACTACGCGTCTTGTTTATAAGATTTTTAAAAGAAACAGTATTGTCTTGGACTGACCCAATATTAGCAAATGTAAACATTTGATAATAGCCGAACAGAGAAATGTCTATAAGTATAGAGGAAATTTCAGTCATTGATTTATCTGGATTTAGTACATAATTCGTATTCGGCAATTATAGTAAGACTTTAGCCTTTTTTTTGCATGGTCTCTATTAATCATTATATTGTGTTAACATACTATAATCTATATCACAAATTTACAGTGTCAGATGCGCACAGACCGTCATTGGCATCATACGAATAGACGTAAATTTTCGAGTTTTCTAGCCTACTTCTACTAACATTTCTAAAGTTTTCATTGTGAATCACCTGTTTATCTCTAATGCATTAATCATTTACTACTTATATTTATTTGATATTGTCATATACTGAATAATGCGTTTACACACAAGCAATCCTGGATATGATATATAGACGATGCAAGCTGTCCATTAAAAAATAACGGTATTCTATTTCACAAAGTCAAAGCAAAAATTTATCGAAAATCTCACTTGTATTATTAAGAATGCATATACAGCAAAAAATGAAAGCTTATTCATGTCAAAACGAAAGCTGTTTACAAAATTTATAAAGGTGGTGAACACTACTAAACTGCTCATTGAAAGACATGTATAATATAGTGACATATAATTTGTCGTTTGACTTATCTTTGGTGTATGATTTTAATACCGTAGATTTTCAACAGACAGCTATACTTTGACATATACCATGATCGTTGGTTTCAGCAATGCCAAGGGCCAATTTTATAGTGTTTTGACGGGCTTTAAGTTTTTTTGATAAGGCCTTTGTATAGATCAACAATCTGGATACAGTTGGCGATATTTCGGAAATCAAAAGATCTCGCTATTTCGTTGCAATTCCACATCTCATCAATAAATAAATTCTTTTGGTCCGAGTATCTGGATGGACATTAATACTAAATAAATAACAACCGCACTGGTCACTGTTCGGTCGACTAGAGATCTATATTTTCTTGTAGGTTTCATATAGCCACGCTGCACAAGCGGCAAGCGTGCTTTCTTTGGCAAGTCTATAAGTTGAATATTGAAATCTGATCCAACTTGCTTGAATTGTAACTCGACACCAGATTATAGAGTAGAGCGTCACGATATAAATATTAACTTAAGAGTTCTCTTTACGATTTCTTGTTGCAAATTTACAGTAAATTTCATCACCCAAAGTTGCAATTTTAAAACGCTGCAAACACGCTCCTTTCCCACCCCTTTCACAGTTACAATTAAATTTACCTCCCAGAATCTGGGAGGCACGTGACCAGCCGCAGCCAGGGTCTCTCCCAGATGACAGAAGGAGAGATCCTGAGAACGAGGTTGTCGAACCTCTTTTAAGTGGCCCTCCATTGAGCGGCCACCCTCTATTAAACGGCCACATATCGAAGTCCCAAGTAAAAGTGTCAGTGTTTGGCGGCCAGATATTTTGGCAAATCTAAAGTAAAGAGTATTTCCCCTGCGGAAAAATATCCCGCTGACTTCACTAATATCGCAACAGATTGAAGTACCGAAATAAAAGATGAAAGACTGAGGCTACAAGCTTGAAAATAACACTGCAAATAGTGTTTTTATTACGAATAGAACAAGACTACAATGAAAAAGATATGTTCGAACTTCGAAGGGGTCGAAAAGTATGGTTTAGTAATAAATTGTTTAGATTTTTCGAACAAATTATGTAGTTTGATGGAATATGATATATCTTGACCCCTCAAAGGTCATAAAGCGCCATGTTTGTCTTTGACAGACTAAAACTATCGTTAGGAATTATATAGGTGATATTTTTTCACTGAATCGAATGGTGGTATTTTCATCCACATAGTATTTACTGAACCGAATATATGAACCTGCGAAATAGTAGACCACTATCGACCTAGTTTTAATAATGCCTGTCGAAAAAGAATTAAACTTGTAAGCTGACTAACTATACAGGGTGTCCCAAAAAACCCGCAAAACCATTGAAATAACGTATTGTTAAAATTTGAATGCCCAGCCCTAAGCTGAACGCAAGGATGCGTAAAATATTGACAAGGGGCATACAGTACAGGGTGTCTCAAAAAAACCCAAAATCATTGAAATAACGTATTATTCGAATTTCAATGCCGTAACACAAAGGATTTTGACAGGGTGATTAATTTGTTTTAAAAAATTAAAATATCTTTGTAAAGTGAACGTTTGTTTGCTCATGGGAATTTAAAAATGCTTCGTAAATTGTAATATGCGTAATATGCATTCGTGGGTTTAGTACTTTATGCCTGACATAACAAGTTTACGCTAAGTATTACCATTCATTATAGCAGTTATGTCAATCTTTTATGCACTCGTGGGATTAACTTAGTGCTAGGGCATTGAATATCGAACAATACGTCAATTTCAATGATTTTGGGTTTTTTTGAGACACCCTGTATATTAAATATTGACTTGTTATAAGAAATTAAAATATCTTTGTAAAGCGCACGATTTTTTGCTCTTGGGAATTTAAAGCAGCTTCTTAAACGGTTTCTTTATGCCAAGCTTTGATGCATATATGGGTTCAGCAGAGTGCTGAGGCATTCAAATTCTAACAATACGTTATTTCAATAGTTTTCGGAGTTTTTTAGGACACCCAGAAGAGCTACACCGCTATAAATGCTGCGTGTGCAGTTAGCCATATGCCCATATCAGCTAAGTACTTTTTGCTATTTATTTACAAGTCATGTATATCTATTTATTTATTTATTTATTTAAGACTTAAGATTAAATTTTGAATAGTTGCAGAAGAAGCTTTTGAAGCAGCTTTCGAGAAGTGTATAACAATCGATGTAAACATTAATACGAACGCTGCGGACTGAAAGTTGTCGAAGACGATCACAAGCCATGGATTTGTGGCGAACGCCAAAGCGGCAAACGAAGACGCAAAAACAAACAGTGAGATAGCTATTCCGTTAAGTTCACCAAGTCGATCGACCACACTTCGGGACAAGAAGAACCAGACAGCAACGACAGGTCGCCTCAGCAAGCCTCCAACAGCCATTACAACTGGGGTGCCACCCAGTTCTTCCATGTACCAAAACTCCCATCTTGTTTGAAATGCAGAGCATAGTCCTCCGTGGCAGGCGATGGCCAGAAGTAACAGGTAGTGAGGTTTCAATAGGACTGCTTTAACTTCAGTGTGGTTCACAACTCGTTGTTCGAAATATTCAAAATTTAACCAATGGAGAGGCACCATTGTCAAACACTGGAAAGCAGCGGCGTAAACAAACGCAAGATAATAATCTGAGACCGTGTAGGTACAACTGATCAAATGACGAAAACGAGACACTGTAATTCCAATCACAAATAGTGCTAAGCCGCCTCCAATTTCGCCCCAGCTTGCGTAGTAGCCGTACTTTGTTTTGTCTTGTTTTGTATGGGTCATGACAGCCACTGTTAACATTGTCACAATTAATCTCTTGAACAGCTCAAACAATCCTCGAAGAAGAAATATCATGAGGCCGAAAAATTTAAGTCGTTCGTGAAGTTTAGCACCATCATTTAAAATCCCAGATGATTGATTTTCGCTGAACTTTGTGGAAATTCCGTCGATACCTTGGTCATCACCATACAGAGAAGATGTCTGGTTGTACTTGTGCCTGTTTAGCGCTGACACATTGGCGTTTGTCGAAGGCAAACGGAAACGGTTCAGTGATTCATGAGGCGATATAGTTGTGTGACTTGCAAGTCGAAGGCTTACATTTTTAATCGATCCTTCACAAGGTTGTTGTGGATATTGTGGAAGAAGGAAAAGCAAGGTGATGGGAATGATAAACAATATGGAGAGGAACAGGAACGATTTCCGCGCTCGAAGTTTGTCCGCCACGTAACTAATCAGAGGAACACCGACAGCTTGGGTAAGTAAGCCAAAGAGAGGAATCACACCAATATATGTCGCAGTCAAGCCAACTTGTCTCAAGTATAAAGGCATGTATTCTTCCACAGATGCTACGCTGGCACGAAAAAAGAAGAAGGCAATGCTTACAGCAACGCCACCACAAATGATGCCGGAGGACATTTTGTGGCAAAGTGCCTAATTGCCTTAGGCCTGTTTTATACGTCGAATTTTGGTCGCGTCGAATGCAATTAAGACAATAGATAATGAGATGATAAACCTCATTAAGCTTCATTACCTATTGTTTGAATTGCATTCGACGCGACCGAAATTCGACGTATAAGGCCTGTTCTAAACGTCGCATTTTACATGTGCCGAATGCATTCAAAACAATAGATAATCAACTGAAATGCCTCATTATCCATTATTTTGAATGCATTCGGCGCATGTAAAATGCGACGTTTAGAACGGGCTTCAAACAGGCCTTATTGACGTTAGCCAACCATGAATAACAATATTATTTACATCGATTGTTATTCACTTATCGAAATCAGTAAACGTCTGCATTTTCTAATCCTAACCTTTAAATAAATGAACATGCACTCAATGTTTATTAAATAAGTAATACTGCATGGCTTAGCGGATAAATATAATAAAGTACATATTGCTGATATGGCTAACTGAACATGCAACATTAGCCGCATTCTTGTGAGATCTCGTGCGGAACGAAGCAGAAAACAAATTCATATTTAGTAGGCTAAGGCCGGCGAAATGATGCGAAATGACGACAAACACTAGACCGCGACATTGGAAGCATCCTTTCGTCACTCTGTCTCACACAGCTTTAAAACAAGAATACGTTCTTTAATCATAATGGCCGATAGATACACGACTGTATTAGTCAGAGAATGCGTTTAAATTAAAACATTCAACCACTCCGCGGGCGCTTGTGAATGCCATATAGATGAAGTGATGAACGAAACATTCGAAACCAGCTGTTGGCGATTTCAGTATATTTGATATTTAGAATAATAACGTAAACTTTAGTTATTGATTACTGAAAGCCTGCATGGTTCACATATTATGCCTGCGGTATATAGTATGCTGCGCTATCATAATTGTTCACAGCTGTTGATGCATACATTCTTTTGTGAAATATTTGGTTGAACTTCTAACGACAATAGCCCGCGGACATACCGCAGGTACATGCATGTGAACAAGGCCTAAGAGCGGGTCCTTGTAAATACACCTTCATTGTGCAAATGAGAAAATATCGGATTCGCTCAAATTTTCACTGAATAACGATTAAGATGAAATATTACTTCTGTCAAAATTTCAGCCCGGTCGAGTAATATTTTGGCAGCTGAATTACCACAATTTCTTGTTTCCCATCACCAGATCGTCTCTCGGTTTTCATGTTGGTCAAAGTCACAAAGTTCATTTTTTTTAATACTGCGTGTAGCGAATTCACATTTTAACGATATTTCGGATCGGAATTTGCTTAAACGCTAAAAGTTTCACAGGCCATACGAATTTACTGAAAAGAGAAAATTCAACCCACTTTTTCCAACAATAGGGCCATTTATACGTGACAAAATAAGTCGCGACTTACATAAGACGCGACTTAAATAAGTGGAGTTATCGCATAAATGGTTCTCTACGGCTTTGGTCTTATTTATTTGCTATAGCTATAATGTTGTTTCGGTTGTTTTTGTTTTAATATGCAAGGCTAATAATTTTACGTTGTTTCATGTTTCGGGCATGTGTAGTTAGGATTTCTGTCTAAAATATCTTATTTAAGACGCGACTTAAATAAGAACAGCTAAAAGTCCTGTTCTTATGTAAGACGCGTCTTATCCAAGACGCGTCTTACATTTAACAAATATAAAACATTTTCCGTGTTGATATACAGTTATATCAACACGAGTGGAATTGGGAAAACGAGAAATTATATGGAAACACGACGCCCGAAGGGCGGAGTGTTTTCATACAATTTCGAGTTTTCCCAACTT